TCCCTGCCCTCAGGGTCACCCGTCTGTCCAGGGCTCATGGAGCTGCCCTTAGCCCTGGTTTATGACCCAGGGTTCCCCAAGCTCCCTGGGCCTCAGTTTGCTCACCCCGAAAACAGAGGGGGGCACATGGCAGTGAGGTGCTGTTGGATCAGTTCTGAGTCAGAGTAAGAGGAGTCTCAGAGATGCAAACTCACTGCCATCGAGGCGATGCTGACTCCCGGCGACCCTGAAGGACAGGGTAGAACTAACTGCCCTGTGGGTTTCCCAGACGGTAACTCTTTTTGGGGAGTGGAAAGCCTTGTCTTTCTCCCGTGGTTGCAAGCTAATGGCCTTTGGGCTAGCACCCCAACACGTAGCCGACACGCCACCAGGGCTCAGTGAGTTGATGATGGTGTAACTCATCGCACGGAGCTTGGCAAATAATGTGTACATCATAAATATTACCTACTCGTGAACCCCACCCCATCTCTTGGAAGGAGCAACCCCGTGGAAGGAAGCGTCCCTTCGGAGAGCAAAGTGATGTCTTCAGACGTGCACTTCACTGTCAGCGTGCTCCTCTCGTGCGGCAGTTAGATGGGAAGTGAGCCTGCCTAGAAGTCCAGCTCTGGGCATCCTGGCAGGTGGCGGGAAGGCTTACCGTGGCACATCTCCCCAAGTGAGCAGATGCCCCACCACCCTGTGGAGTGGGGCTCTCAACCGTGCAGGGCCCTCACTCTGAGCTACGGAGTCCATCTCTACCTTAGTCCTCAGCCCGGGCAGAGGGATCACAGCCTTGGTGGAGGAGGTGGAGGGTGGAGGTGGAGGAGGTAGAAGTGGAGGTGATGGAGGTTGGAGGTGGAGGTGATGGAGGGTGGAGGTAGAGATGGAGGAAGTGGAGGTGATGGAGGGTGGAGGTTGAGGTGATAGAGGGTGGAGGTGGAGGTGATGGAGGGTGGAGGTGGAGGTGGAGGTGATGGAGGAGGTGGTGGAGGTGGAGGGTGGAGGTGGAGGTGATGGAGGCTGGAGGTGGAGGGTGGAGGTGGAGGTGATGGAGGGTGGAGGTGGAGGGTGGAGGTGGAGGCAGTGGTAGATGCTGCTGAGCTGATACTGATTCCAGGAGCTCGGTGTGAGAGTAGAATGGCCACATTGTTTCTTGCTTGTAATCTTTATGGATGCAGATCGCGGAGTCTTTCTTCTGAAGGGCGACTAGGTGGATTTGAACCACCAACCTTTTGATTTGCAATCAGGTGCTTAGCAGTTGGGCCATCAGGGAGCCTATGGAGTTGATTGGTAGCTAGATTGGAGTCCTCCTTTCCTTCTAAGGCATTTGCTTTGGGTGGGCTTATTAAATTGGTCCCCAACCAGTCACCATATCACCAAGAAGCTCTCTTGGTGTTTGGGGCACTCTGTGCACAGAGAAGGACAGGCCCTTGCTTAGCTAGAACTCAGGTTCGTGTTGTCTATGTTATTGTGCTCAAAGAAGGGTGCAGGGCAGCGGGTTATGTTAGCTGCCCTCCATGAAGTGCCCACTGTCACCCATTTAAACATATTAAAAATCACTCAAAAACTCATTTGCCATCAAGTTGATTCTGACTCATTGTGACCCTGTTTGACAGAGGAGTGCTGCCCCTGTGGGGTTCAGAGACTTGACTCGTTAAGGGAATGGAAAGCCTCGTCTTTCTCTCGGCTTGTGGTTTTGAACCGCAGACTTGGTGGTTAGCAGCCCAACACATAACCGTTATGCCACCACCTAAGACTGTTCACATTTTTAATAGCTTTATTGAGATATGATTCCCCTGTCATATAGTTCAGTCATTTAAAGAATATAATTCCATGACTTTGAATGTACAGCACCATAACCAATGTGAGATTTGTATTAACCCCCAATAAAACTCCATACTCTTTAGCTGTTAACACCCCAACCCCAAACCCTTATCCCAGCCCTGGGCCCTGGGATCTGACTGATATGTTTCCTCTGTCTTCTCACTGTTAGTGAGTCAGCTCCTAACCATCGTGAATCGAGAGGGTAGAACTGCCCACGTGGGCTTCCAAGACTTGAGTTCTCTACGGGGATTTCTCTAGACTTGCCTATTGTTACAGGCTTGTCTGTTGAGGATGCTGCACACAAACGGAATCACAGACTCTGTGTCTTTTTGTGGCTGGCTTCTTTCCCTCTCAAGGCTCATCCGTGGCACGACACACGGCAGTCCTCCCTCCCTTTCATGGCTGAGTAATATTGGACCCAGTTGTGTGCACACTTTGTTCTTTCATGTACCCATTGATGGAAAGTGTTGCTCAGGTCTGAGATGCCGTTCAATTCCCAACCATTTTATTTTGAGGAGGAGAGGGAGGCATTTTAAAAAAGCAAACATTTTTTTATCATACCGTCAAATTACTACTCTCCTGTGAATGTGTTTCCCTCCTCAAGCATGATTTTCCAAATATCCATTTTTAAAATTGGAGTTTTGTTTTTGATTCTGTCTCTGTAGTGTCTTTTTTTGCTTTTCTTTTGTGGCATTATTTAAGGTCTAAGCTTTTGCTCAAGTTAGCTGAGGGTTCCCTCTGGCTGAAGATCATATAAGAGTGTCCCCAGAGAGACAAACACAGTGAGCTAAAAACAAAAACGCTTTAGCATTTTAACAGAGGAAATGGAACCCACGAGCAAGTGTCCTTTTTTCAAGTCACACTTGACCATGTTTCCGGGAGGACACACAGGCCGTGTGGGTTACCATCCAACGACCTCTACCCAGGTGCCTGGGGCAGGGGGCCACTCCTCACCAGAGGGGAGCCGTCCACTGTCTTGAGGTTCCCCCGCCACTCACACTCTCCGCTTTGTTGTAAAGTAATTGTTGACTGTTTATTCTCACATGCAGGATTGTTTTCCAGGTATCCAGTACTTAGAGGCGATGCTCATTATTCTGTGAGTCAGTTTGTTACTGAGCTACCAGGGGATCTTGGGTTCGTTCTGGCTCCAGGTTTGGAGACTACCTCAAGGTCTGAGCCTCCTCCCTCCCTCCCTCGCTCCCCCTTTCTCTTCTCTCAGTCTGGATGGACTCGATGCCAATGAGTTTGGTTTTTCTGAGTGAAAATCCTTAACCATAGAAGAGTTTTAAAAATTAACAAAACCCTTCATTCACTGCCACCGAGTCTGTTCTGACCCAGAGTGACCCTATAGGACAGAGCAGACCTCTTCCTGTAGGTTTCCAAGACACGAACTCTTTACGAGAGTAGACAGCCTTGCCAGTCTCCCCCCAGAAGCTGCTTGTGGTTTCCAACTGCTGACCTTTCAGTTAGCAACTCGATGCATAACCACTGTACCACCAGGGCTCCTCGCGAGGACGAAGAGAGAAGGCTCCCATAAAGCAGGCAGCACAGAAGAAGGGCACATACATGCCATTTCTAAAACTCTGCCCCACCAAATGTTTTTTTCTTGCACCTGTTCTCCTTGTACTCTGATTCACAACCAAGTTTTGAGAGAGATCCTTGATAAAAGAGCATTCAAGACCTTTCCCAACCGGCACCGCCAGTGCTCTGTGCTCCTGGGAAACCACTTCTGTCTCTCTGAAGCCCCTGGGATTGGGGTCAGGCAGAGGTGCAGCCCCCAGCAGTCATCTGGTAGATAATTGCTAATGCACCCATTTAATAAACCTCAGGACCAGGATAGCATTTCAGATACAGCCTGCTCTCCGAGAGGGGGTACGAGTGAGCCTTAGCATCCGTGGTGGATTTTCATTTGCATCCTGATGCAGAGCCCCAAACAGCAGAGCCGGAAGTTGGCCCTGGCAGCTGACAATACCATCCTAATGCCTGCAGTGCAGACCAACTGCTTCTCCTCCAGTGCGTTTCTTGGCTGAAAATTCAAAAGGCACAAATGGTTTCGTGGTCTTAGGAAAACGTGCTGGTGCTGGGTGAGAATGCCTCACGTTTTGTGTAATGCTTTCCATCTTGCTGAATACGTGTCACGCCGCTAGAGCCCCGATTTCTCACAACTTGCAGGGGTTGATAAGAGAACGAACGCTGTAGTCTGGCTAAAGAAATGCCACCTCAACCACTTGCCTCCCTAATGGCTGTGGGGTTTGTTAAGCTTTCGGAGCTTATTTTCCTAATCCTCACAGTTAGCTTTTAGAGGAGCAGCTCCTCTTTCTCCCAAGGAGCAGCTGCTGGTTTTGAACTGCTGACCTTGCAGTTCACAGCCCAACGCACCAAAACCATGCCATGGTTCACTCCAAGGCAGGGAGTTTGCGGTTTGTTTGTTTTTCCTTTTAAGATGAGAGATTCAGTACAGATTCTCTGAGCTAATTCCAAGCTAATGCTCATTAGCTAATTAGCTAATGCCACATAACCAAAATCACTGCCATCACGTTGATGCCGACTCAGCGCCCCCAGCGCCCAGGGTAGAACTGTCCCTGTGAGGGTCCAAGACCATAACTGTTTACGGGAGTAAAAAGCCCCATCTTTCTCCCGAGAAGCTGCTGGTGGTTTTGAACCTCTGACCTTGCAGTTAGCAGCCCAACACATAACCACAGCACCAGCATGGCTCCCTCACGCCAAGCACATAGTAGGTACTTGATAAATGGCAACTCCTAGCATAGGTGTCATCAACCTTATTTCACTGAGGAGACAGCAGCTGCTGTGGTGTCTGTTCTGACACACAGCGACCCTGTGTGGGTCGAGAGCAGAACTCTGCTCGCCAGGCTTCTCCTGGCTGAGATCTTTTGGGAACAGATCTGCCAGACTTTTCTTCCATGGCCCCTCTGGGTAGATGCGCACTTCCCACCTTGCTGTTAGCAGCCAAGCATGATAACTACCTGCCATCTCCTGAAGGAATCTCAGGATCCATTTCCCAGTGATCACCCTGCTGTGATTGGCAGAAGGGAAGGCAAGCCAACCTCACGCTGTGGGTCTGGGGAGTGTAAAACAGGGCCCTGAGGGCGCTTCTGCCGGCACAGGTCCCTCCCCCTGCCAGAAGCCCTGTTTCTGGGCTGCACTAACGTTGTCCTCGTCCGCTTCTGTGTTCACAGAACATCATCAAGAAGGTGATCGGGCAGAAGTTTGTGTACAAGTTTGTGTCCTTCCCCGAGATCCTGAAGATGGACCCACATGCCGTGGAGATCAGCCGGGAGAGTCTCCTGCTGCAGGACAGAGACTGCAAGGTGGCCCACGAGGGCCGCGAGGGCCACAAGCACAGCCTCTCTGCCTTCAAGAGCACCAGCCGCAACGAGTACATCCACTCGGGCCTCTACTCGTCCTTCACCATCAACTCCCTGCAGAACGCACCGGACAGCTTCAAGGCCATCAAGACGGAGAAGCTGGAGGATCCGCCCGAGGGCAGCCCCCCAGTGGAAGAAGTCAGGACTGTCATCAGGTTTGTGACCAACAAAAGCAGCAAGCACGTCAGCAGGCCCGTGGTGTCCCTGCCCTCCACTTCGGAGGCCGCTGCTGCCTCGGCCTACTTAGCCTCGTCTGTCTCGGCCAAGATCTCCTCCCTCATGTTGCCAAATGCCGCCAGCGTTTCCTCCTCGTCGCCCTCCTCGTCCCGGTCCCCGTCGCTGTCCCCCAACTCGCCCCTCCCCTCCGAACACAGAAGCCTCTTCCTGGAGGCCGCCTGCCGTGACTCGGATTCCCTGGAGCCCCTGAACCTGTCTTCGGGCTCCAAGACCAGGTCTCCGCCTCTCCCCCCAAAGGCCAAAAAACCCAAAGGCTTGGAAATCTCCGCACCCCCACTGGTGCTCTCCGGCACCGACCTGGGCTCCATCGCCCTCAACAGCCCAGCCCTGCCCTCGGGCTCCCTCACCCCAGCCTTCTTCACCGCACAGGTAAGAGCCCACCCAGCGCCCTGGCTTCCAGCCGCGAGAAGGCCTGCCTTCGCCCTTCCGGAGAGAAGCCCTGTGGCTGGTCCTTGTCTGGTCACTCCCACCCATGATGACCCACGCGTGTCCCTCTGTCTCTGTTCTGGTCTCATCACTGTGCAGTTAGGTTCTCTGCCCACTGGCGTTCTCCTCTGTGCTGTGAATCACTGTAGTGAGCTTTAATGCATATAGACAATTAAAAGAGCTAGCTACTGGAGGCCTGGTGGCACTGTGGTATAAGCATTGGCCTCCTCCCCTCAAGGTTGGTGGTTCATACCCATTAGCTACTCCTTGGGAGAAAGCTGAGGCTGACTGCTCCTGTACAAGTGCAGTTTCAGAAATGCTGCCACTGTAGCGCTGCTGTCAGTATTAAGTCGATTTACAGTGGGCTTGCTTCTGGTTTGAGCTAAACAGCTGTTAGTGTAATGGTAGCTCCATGAGATACTTCCAGTTCTAAGCTTGAAGCTTATTGAGGGCGTTAGATGCAGGGATATCCCCAGTCCACCCTTGATCCTGTAAGTCTTGTATCCATGAGTTTGAAGTTCTGGACCTTTTGACCATGGTCCCTCTTGATCTTCGCGTCTCGATCTTAGGGTCTTCGGTGTCGGATTTTCCAGACTTAGACAGCCGGGTCTCTGGGTAGACTCAGACCTCCAACTTGTCAGTGAGCGGTGGAGCCAGGGTGGCATAGCGGGATACACTTTGAGTTGCCAGCCAGAGGGTCAGGGATATGAACCCTCCAGCCACTCCGCAGGAGAGAGATGAGGCTGTCTCCTTCCGTGGAGATGCAGAAACCTCAGAAACCCACTGGGGAGCCAGTTCTACGGTGTCCCACGCGGTCTCTGAGTCGGCAGCGGGTTTGGTTTGTGAGTTTTCAGTTAGCAGCCGAGCACACTCCCCACTTGAACCACCCAGGGTTTTGTCGGGCCCCACAACCCATGCAAATGCCCATCCTCGGATTTGAACCGCGCAGGGATGCGTCGGGCCTCACACCCGTGCAAATGCCCATCCTCAGATCGGATCTGTGTGTGTGCACACGACCGCAGGCTCGCATCTCGGGCCGAGAAGGGGCTTGTTGGCACTCTTGCTCTGAGAGGCGCACAGGGGGCCGTCAGAGGGAGCAGGCACATTGGCTTCCTGCAGATCACACCATCCTTTCCTAGGGACCGTCGAGCCGGCCGGTTTACAGGCCAGAAGCCATTTGGGCTGCATGGCATCTGATGTGGTCTCTCCCTTTTCCTCTCGTGTGAAACCCTGCATTCGGGCTGCACGCTGTCTTCGTGGCGGAGCCCTGGCGGGCTCCTTCTTCAGGAGCCATTTGTTTTCTCTTCGCAAGAAAGCAGCCGTTGTTGTGTGGAGCGGGGGAGGTTGTTCTGGGAGTCGCTCATCGGAAACATCAGAGCCGCACCAAATGGTGTGTGGAAAATTCCATGCTGAAAAACGGCGTTGCTCTGAGAAACCCTGCCCATGTCACGTGGGAGGGAAAACAAACCCGTGAAGGCAGACCGTCTTCCTTGTTACCAACCCCCGCCGCCAACCCCTTCCTTTCAGGAAAGCCCCCCAGATAGCCCTTGCTGCCCAGATGGCAGTTGAAAGGCAAGCACAACTAAAACCAAAAAATACCGCTGCCAGCGAGTCGATCCCATCGCCGCCGTGTGTGTCAGAGGGCGAGTGGCCTCTGAGGAGCTCTCCCCACTGTCTACAGACCTTGCTTCTTCAACGCTCCTGGGTGGACTCGAACCGCCAGCCTTTCAGTGAGCAGCCGAGCCCCTGAAGTCTGTGCCCCACAGAGACTCCCCTTAAAACCGGCATTGAGTGGCAGAGCTGGTGCCAGTAAACCTTGTAGCTGCTTCCCCTTGAAAAGGCAGGTGCCATTTGTTGCAGAAGTTAGGAGCTAGTTTGGGGGCTCCAGGCCTGTCCTGGGTGCACCCCGTTGTAGTATTGTGATGGGGGCAAGTGCTCTCAGCCTCTGCCCCCCATCTGTGAGATGGGTTCTTGCGAGGATTACAGGGGACCCTGGCTGTGGTCAGGGAACTGCGCCTGATGAGTGCTGTGGTCCTCGAGGGGTGAGCCCTTGGGGTGCGGGCATGCGGTTAAGTGGGTCACGCTTCTGCCTCGCTTCTGCACTTGGCGTCAGGTCAGGCCTTGGCTCTCTGCTTTGGCATCATCATAGTTCTCCAGTGCCAGCCACTGTGCACGGCATTCCCTTGTTGATTTTCAGAGACCCCATGAAGTAGTTATGGAGACCTCGAGATCAGCGAACCTTGCTTTTGGGTCCCGGGAGTCTGCCCCCCACAGGCCAAACTCCTCAGGGAACGTTTAAGACCCCTCTCTGTGGAGAGGCTGTGCTGACCCTGATCATGGTGGCAGTTCTGGGCCTGCC